TTTAAATTGAATTTTTTTTATTTAAGCTTAAGTCGTTATATTTATTGTTTTGCGGTCAATTTAAATAAATTCCATTTTCCCCCAATCCCCCCTCCAAATCTCCCCACCCCACCCATCCTTCTACTTCTTCTTCTTTTGTTTAAATAAATTAAATTAAATAAATAAATAATTTTTTTTTATTACAAATTTTCCACTCATTCAAAAATAAAAAAAATTAATTTTATTTATCACTGTGTTATCATTATTATCATCATCATATCATTTTTTTACTTCCTGTGACGTCATACCTTTTTTTTTAAATCATCAATATTATTATTATTATTACTATCACGTGTAAAACGCAACCGTTTCCGGTTTTTCTTATTTTTTTTTATTTTCTTTTTATTTTTTAATTATTATCATTCAAACTTAAATTAAAAACCTGACGATTCGAAAACATGTAAGGTCAAAAGGTTAAGTAATAACCTATCGTAAAACGTCAAACGTCGTTATTATTATTATTATTATTATTATTATTAAAAAATTTAATTTTTTAATTTAAATCTCATCATCGTAAAAAAAAAATTTATCGTTAATTTTTTTTTTTTTAATTTTTAAAATTATTTTAATTATTATTATTATTATCATCATTATTATTATTATAATCGTAAAAAAATTTTCTTTTATTTTCTTTTGTTGTTTTTCTTTCTCGTCAGTGAGTAAACTCACGAAGAAATAAATAAAATAAAATAAAAAAAAGAAAAACGACGATAATAAAAATTTAAACCATTTAAAATAATAATAATAATAATAATAAAATCTTTTTTTTTATGGACATTATAAATAAATATATAAATAAATGTTTTTCGAAACGTAAATAAAAATCATAAAGTAAATAAACATGGAGTTTATACGTCATCGTGTAAGTTTCCTCCTACGTATGTCTAGATAGAGAGGAAGAGAAGAAGAGTACGTTCAGGAATTTGATTTTTCTTTTCCTTTTATATTCAAAACGACAACAATCGATGATGATTCGCTCAGATGAATATAACTACGTCACAAACGCAACGATAATAGAAAAATTTTCATTTTTAATAATTATTATTTAATAAAATAGTGATAATGATAATAATTAAAATAATTAAAGCTTTTATTCGTAAATTAAATAAAAAAAGACAGGAAAAACGCGGGGAAATTTGATTCAAATAACGGAAAAAAAATTCGAAAATTCCGTATACATTTATAGATTAATTTAAACCGAAAAAAAATAATTTCATAGAGTAAATAACAAAAAAAATTTTTTTTTTTTCTCGATGAACGAATTGTTCGTATATATTCGAAATCAAAGGTAAATAAATAAATGAAATTAATAAAGTTGTGATCAGTTTGAGTAAAATTTGAGAAATTTGTTTCGTAAATTGTTCATCATTCACGAGAAATTTTCTCGTGTCTTTATACTAAAATTTTACGTTACCGGAAACGACGAATATAATAATAATAATAATAATAATTGAAATATGAAATTCGTTTAAAAGGACATGATATAGGGAAACTTAATTTAATTATAAAAAAATTGTAAAAAATCTTTGATTAATTATAAACAACACAACATCGTTTTATCATGAATCTTTTATCAAAGACTGATAAGACTGCATAATAAAATATGCAAATATTTAAATGTCGGAAATTGTTATTTACAAACAAAAGGAGAAAATTAAAAAGTCACAAATACGCACACGCACACGCACACACGCATACGAAGTCAGACAAAATCAACACGATTTGAAATTTCTAGAAAAAATCATGGGAAATTAATTTTAAAATCATTCGTTTCAGGTATAAAAAAAAAAAAAAAACAGTTTTCTACTTTGGCAGGAAATGAATGAAAATAACGATGATAATAATAATAATAATTTTTAAACCCTACAGTTAAGATGAGCCCTGGAAAAAGTTTTTTTTTATTCTTGTTTGGTTTCGAAAAAAAAAATTCGAACGAATACCGAACAAAGTTGTTAGATTATAATGAAAAAAGAATAATAATAATAATAATAATAATAATAATAATTCAGTTACTTTTTTTTTTGTAAAAAAAAGAAAAACCCGAACACAAGTGCTTAAAAAAAAATTTTTTTTTTTTTTTTTTTTTTCAAACCTTTTACCGCAACGAAAAAAATTTTTTTTTTTTTTTTTTATTCTTTAGTTTAAAAAAAAAAAAAAAGTTTTAAAATTAAATTTTATCCGAAAACCTACAATAAAGTTTTTTTTTTTCTCCCTCCTTCCTTTTGTTGATGTTTTTCTATTGCCACGTTAAATTAATAAAGATTCATAAATTTAAATGTCTCTACTTTAAAATAACCGCCCACCATCGCCACCACCACCGTCATACTCTCTAACTCTCATCGCTTTTTTTTCATCTTCTCTCTCTCTCTCTCTTTAACCCGTATTTTTTTCTCTTTCTCTCTCTCTTTTTTTTTATTTAAAGTGTCAGCATAATGTTCGTTTAATTTTATTTTTTATTTTTTGTATGCATCACGATAACTGTTTAAAAATTAAAACTAACTATAATAAAACCAGAAAAGCTTTTCAGGAAATTGAAAAATGCTTTTAAATTTCCGGTAAACTCACTTTTTTGAAATAATTGTACATTCTTCGACCCTACCCCTCCCCCAATCCCCCACCCTTTTCCTCTTTCTACCCCCCCCCAAAAAAAAAAAACAAAAAAAATCCCTTTCGTTTTGATTTTTTAAAAAAAAATTTTCACTTTTACAATTTTTCGTAATTATAATTTCATATTGGTTGCCGCCATTTTTTTTGCAAATAAATATTTAACATAATTATAAAAATTATTTTATTTATCGTTGCGTTTGTCGTAAAAAAAAAAAAATGGCGGCAAATTTAAATTTAATAAAAAAAAAAATTTATCGCACCATCGGTTTCGTTAATTATCAGTTTATTCTCGTAAATATAATAATTTTGCGTATAATGTGTGGAGTTTCAGGTTTTTAAACAACTCTAAATCATCCCTAACCGTAATAATAATAATAATAATAATTATAATCGAGAAAGAGAGAGAGAGAGGAGGAGGGGAGGTATAATGGTGATGCTTTTATAATTCAAGCAAATGGAAGCAAAAAAAAAAAAATTAAAATTAAATTTTTGTCACGAAAAAATTTCAATTCCAGCCTTGCTGGACCAAAAAGTTAAGTGGAAATCTTTTCAATAAAAAATACGAGAGATTTTATAAAGTTAATGGTGTAAGAATATCGTGCATTAAGAAAATTCTAGAATGATTTTTTTTTTTTCTACAATGATATATAATAATAATAATGTTCTTTAAAGTACTGGAGAAAATAGTTTAAAAAAAAAAAAAACTCGAATCCATTCGCATGCAAATGAATCCCCTTCCTCCCCCCTTTCTCCCCTCTCCTACCCGCAATCCCCCTCAACCATGTTTTTTTTTAAATAAATTTTTTGTTTTTACCTGCAATTAAAAGCCATGATTCGGTTTTGCTTAAAGTGGTTGCAGAAATAACTTCAGGTAACATGAGCGTGAGGTTACCAATTGAACTCCCTCTTAAATTTTTAGCAAGACACGAATATTCTCCAGCATCCAATTCGCTGACGTTATATATGCTCATGACGACCCATTTTTCCAAACCACCGTCTTTTTCTTCGTAATACATTTGATCGTTTGCGGTTCCGTTCACGGGTTTACCATTGTACAACCACATTACATCCGGTTCCGGATCTCCTGTGACGTGACACTTAAACGTAACATTGTTACCGACTTCTTCTTGTATCATGACTTCCGTTACCGTTACTTTCGGACTGCACGCGAATTCTTCTGTCGACACGTCGTTCCAATGCAGTCCGGACAATGACGGGGGATCCATGCAAGTCAAGGGTACGGAATATAAATTACTCTGGAGTAACCAAGTCCGAAAATCTCTTAGAGCGCAATCGCATTTCCACGGATTGTTATCCAATTTTAATGTTTTTAACTTTTTTATCAATTTAAAAACGTTTTCCGTCACGTTGTTCAATTGATTCGAATTTAAATTTAACGTTTCCAAAAGGGGTAAGTTAACAAACGCGTCTTTGTTTATATAATTTAAATAACAATTTTGCAATTCGATCGTTTTTAAATATTTTAACGGTGGAAATTGATTTCCGACTAATTCCGTCAATGGATTTCCGCTTAAATTTAAAAATCTCAATCTATCGTTACCGTAAAACGTGTTCGGATGTATTTTATCGATTTTATTTTCGGATAAATCAATTTCAACGAGGATGCTGAGATTACGAAATGCATCCGGATGTATTTCTTTCAATGATATATTTCTTAAAAATATCCTTTGAAGATTAAGTAAACCGATGGATTTGAATAAATCCTTCGATAGAAAAGGTATTATGTTACGAGTCAAATCCAATACCTGAAATCATAAAATTTTTTTTTCCAATCATTTTCGCGCCATTTTAAAAAAAAAAAAAAAAAAAGTGATTTACTTACTTGTATGTCAGCATTTAATGTTGGTACCGTTGTTAAACCCGCATCTCTGCAAAAAGCGCTTTTCTTTCCGGAAGACCATTTGCATCGACAAGGTCCTGGACAATCCATCCAATCTGGTGATGCGACGCTCCAAGCCGCTGCCAATACCAAAAGGGAGGCAATGACCCCACCAGCCATTTTTTTTTTTTGATAAAATCATCTTGCAAATATATAACAACTTCCTAATTTCATTTAGGTGTTCCTGCGAAAAAAAACAAAAAAAAATTTATTACGATATACGTATATGACATAACAATCGGGCGCCATGTTTGATTAAATAATAATAATAAATTGAGGGGAGGGAAGGGAAGGGAGGAATTTTTTTTGTTTTATTTAATTTTTAAACTTTTGAATTAAACGATCGATCTTTTTTTTTCTTTTTTTCTTTTTTTTTTTTTTTTTTAAAATAAAAGTCGAGAAATAAAAAACTTTTCTATTTTTTTTTTTTTTTTGATTTTCTTCTTCTTCTTCTTTTTTTTTTTTTGGAAAGAAGACAAAACGCCCAAACCCCGGAAAATTAAAGCGGGTTCAAAAAAAACTTTTTTTTTTATTTTTGGGCGCCTTGGGGAAATTTTTTTTTTTTTTTTTTCATTCCATTTTTTTTCCCTCCTCCTCTTTTAGGCCCAACGGAAAAATTTTTTTTTCCCCCTTTTTCGTAAATGAAAAAAAAAAAAATCCCTCAACAGTTTATTTACCCCCCCCCCCCCCCCCCAAATTCCTTTGGTTTAAATCAAAAGAAAACTTTAAAAAAAAAAAAAAAATTAAATCGAAAATATTTTTTTTTTTTTAATTAAATTAAAAATTTATCAGCGTTCACATTTTGATAACCACCCCCGGGGGGGTGGGCGCGTTAACGTATCCAATGATTTATTTATAAAAATTATAAAAAAATTTTCAAGAGAAAAACAAAATAAAAAGAAAAACCTTTATGTATAAAAAAAAAGGTTCGGTAAATATAAATTTCCGCCATTTTTTATTTATAATCTTTTATCTCGATATAAAAATAAAATGTTTTTTAAGTGTTTTTTAAATATGTTTTACTCGCTCGATTTTTTTTTTTTTTACATATACGAGGTTGAAATAAATTCCTTGTTGAAAAAAAGAAAAGCCTGGAGAGAAAAAAAAGCCTGGAAAAAAAAAATTATCAAGGATATGAATACACGTTTTTTTTTATTGATTTTTTTTAAACTCATCGTTCACCTTTTGATCAAAAAAATTTTTTTTTTTTCCTTTCGCGTTACTTTAAAATTTGTACAAATACGCGAAACAACACGCGCGTATTAATAATAATGATAATAGGTAAGTTTTTGTAATAATTAAATAGAATTAAATTTAAGAAAAAAAAAAATTATAATTTAATTTTCAAGTTTAAAAATAAAAGTGAATAATAAAACAATCCGAGTGTAAAAATTACAAAGTTTTTTTTTTGACGTCTTCTTCTTCTTTTTCTTTCTTTTTTGTTTTTCTTTCCATTTAATACAAAAGAAGTCTGTCTGCAATGACTGGAAAGAAAAAGAATGCAAATTTATTTTAAATGAAAGAGTTGCACCGAAAAAAAAAAAAAACTTTATTTAAATAAAAAACTCGTATCTCTCTCTCTCATTCATTCATTCATTCTCTTTTCTGTCTCTCTCTTTAACTATCGCTCTCTCTCTCTTTCATTCGTTCTCTTATGACAAAACTAATGAGAGAAAAACTTTTTCTTTTTTTCTTTTTTGCAAGTCGTTTTAAACTTGAGTTTTTTTTGTATAAAATTGAATTTTATCTTTCGTTTTATTTCACTTTTTTATTATTTAAAAAAAAAAAGTAGAAAGAAAAATTACGTATTATTTTAATTTAATTGAATAAAAAAAAAAAATTTGAAATTATTATCATTATTATCATTATTATTATTATTAAAAAAAAAAAAAAAATTAAATCCGTATAATAATATTTCATCATGGTGCGGTACACTCGACGAGATTCGACAAACTAATAAAAGAAAAAAATTTAATTGGTTGAAATAAACGGAAAATTCAGTCATCCGACCAATCGGATGCGACTACGTCACACGATTCATTAACCAATAGGAATATTTGTTTTTATTTTTTTAAACTTTTGAATTTTGCAGGAGGTAATTTGAATTAGATAATAGGTTGGATAGAATAATATAATTTTGTAACAGGGTCGGAAAAAGGAATAGAAAATAATAATAAAGTGGGGAGGGAGGAGGGGGGTATCAAGGGTTTGTTCTTAACTAAAAAAAAGAAAAGAAATATCGTATATTTAATAATAATTAATTTTATCGTAATCATTAAAAGTTAAAACAAACGATTCATGTACATTTCGAATTTTTTTTTTGGGGGGGGAGGGGAGGGAGGAGGCAGGGCGGGGCGGGTAATTAAATTATTTAAAATGGATTATTAAAGTAACGGAATATAATTACGGATTATCGAAATTTTCTTGTTGACGTTCAAGGTTGGTCGTGGAAAAACTAAAGGTAGAATATCGGAAAAGTTAAAAAGTTTTTTCCAAAAAAAAAAAAAAGAAAAAGTTAAAGTGATAATTTCGCGTAAAAAAAAAATATGGCCGACCATTATCGCATTTAAAATAAAAAAAAAAAACCACCGTTAAATTCGTAAGAAAATTTCATGTTTAAAAAAAGGTTTTGTGTGTGTGTGCACGTAAAAAAAAGAAAAGTTTTTGGCGAAATAATCCGGAAAAGTTTTAACAAAATTTATTTAGAAAACTCGACCGGTCAAGCCAACAACAGGAAAAAAAAAAAATGTTTAATTAGTTAATTTATTTCAAATTTTATTTTTTATTTTCGCATCCTACTTCCTTTTTTTTCGGAGGAGCGGTGGGACGTGGACGGGGGGCGGGAGGAAAGCTGGAGAAACAAGAATGTAAAAATAAAATTTATTTTCTACCCTTTTCCTTTTTTCTTCTCTTCTTTGAAACTCAACCTTTGTTTCCTGTTGGCCGACGTAAAAAAAAAAACCCAAATAAAAATAAAAAATGAGGAGAGGAGGGGGGAAAATAAAAATCTTTTCACAAAAGATTTTCTTCCGACATCATCATCATTATTATTATTTATTAATTTTAACGAGTTTAATTATTATTATTATTATAATACTAAAAAAAGCTTTAAATTTCATTCGATTCCCAGTTTCAACCCTTTTCGCCACCTCATTTTTCCAACAACGATTAATCACGTGATTACATGCGTACATAATTAAATAATAATAATAATAATAATAATAATAATAGTAAAAATTTTAAGAAGAAAATAAGAAGGGTAGAAAATTTTTTTTAAATCTTAAAAAAAAACAAGACAACAAAAAAAATTAAAATTTTTTTAGTTTTCTCTTAGTAAAAAAAAAAACGTTAAAATAAAAACAACAACAAAAACAATGGCGTTGACCGCAAAAACTAAAATTTATCTCTCTCTCTTAAACCCGGTTTTTAACTTACCGATTTTATTTCTTATTATAAGAGGATTAAACAACAATTTACTTTTTGTTATTAACTCCAATGAAAACAATCATATTATTATTATTATTAAATACCTGGAGAGAGAGAGAAAGGGGGAGGGGGAAAGAGAAAGAGAGAGAGAGAGAAAAATCGGACATTTCTTCACATTTAAAATTATTTTTCCCCCCTTTTTTTTTTTGAATGAAAAAAAAAAAAATTCGTTAAATCCGATCTGAGGCTTTTTTTTTTCGTAAGTTGGCAGTAAAAGTTTTTGTTTTCTTTTGGCGCCTTTTTTTTTTTAATTTAAAAATTTTATTTAAATCCACTTTGTTTTTGTTAACGGTCACTTTTCCGTTCTGGAATTCGCGCGCGTGCGTGAGGGGGGGGATATAACATCATGAATTTTTATCACGGTTGAATTACACAACTAAAAATAATAATAATAATATTAATAAAGTAAAAAATTTTAAAACTTTATTTTAAAGTTGTGGTGGCGGCGGCTCTGGAAATTTTCCAAAAAAAAAAAAAGAATTTTCCTTTTTTTTTTTTTAAGGATGTAAATAATATTTGTGGATTTCGGGTTTATTTTAACAATTTTTGAATTATTTTAAATTTAATTTCGGTTTATGGTTATTATTATTATTATTATAAAAAATTGTTTTCTTTATATCAATTTTATCATTATCATTATTATCATTATTATTATTTTTTGGATAGAAATTTTTAATGAAATTTATCGAATGAAAAAAAAAAAATTTTTTTTTTTAATTTTTTTTCCAGCGATTTAATTTTTTAAAAATATTTTAGCCTCAGCAAATAATAATAATAATAATAATAATAATAATAATAATAATAATAATAATAATAATAATAATAATAACAATAATAATAATAATAATAATGATGATGATGATAGTAGTAGAGTAGTAGTAGATGATGTTGATGATGAAAGTGAATGAAGTAGAAAGGGAGTGAAAAAAAAAAAAAAAGAAAATTATTAATTTATTTTTTTACGCTTTTCACCTCTCTCTCTTAACTTTTCCAGCTGATTCATCTTAAAAATTGAATCCTTCAAAAACTGGAAAGCTGTTGAAATACATAAAAAATAACAAAAAAAAATGGAGAATAAGTATATGAAATTATGCTGAATAAGTTTAAAAAGATAAAGTTGAAAAATCCTTGGAGAATATTTGAATAAAGAAAAATTTTTTCCTCCTGATTATGCTGCTGTTGCTGTTCCTACTCCTACTTCTTCCTCTACCACCACCACCACCGCTCCCCACCGCGATACCCCGAAAAAATATTTTTTTTTTTTTTCGGCCCTTTTCGAGATGGTTTAATGAACCCCCTTTTTCACTTCCTTTTTTTGCCTCCCCTCCGCCCTCTCTCCTCTCAATTTATTTTCTTTTTTTTTTCTTTTTCCGCCACACACACACACACACCCTCCTTCCCGATTCCCATCATCTCTTTGCTATTTTTTTTTTTTTTTCAAGTACGTTTTCGACAAAGGAAAATAATAATAATAATAATAATAATAATAATTTTTCTTTTTGTTTTTTTGTTTTTTTTTTTATTACTCTTATTATGAATTATCAAGATTTTTTCTTTTTATTTTAAAAAAAAAAAAAAAAAAAATTTCATTTTTCTCCAGTTTTATCATTGTTATTATTATCATCATCATCATT